CCCTGTGTATTATGCGCGATGGTGCAGCTGCGGAGACAGGACAGGGCAGGGGTGCCCCGTACGGCAAGCTGGCACCCTGCCTGCCCCACTGGCCCCCCACGCTCACGTGCCGTCCTCATTGCTGCGGTAGAAGACGAGGAAGGGGTCAGATTTTCCAAAGAAGTCCTTCTTGTCCAGCTTGTTGGCACACAGCTGCATCGTGACGATATCCTGGGGATGGGGACTGTCACCGCTGACCACCTCCTCGCCCCCGGCCCCAGCAGCCGCCCGTGCCAAGGTGGCTGTGCAGCCCCTGTCTCGCCACTGCCGGGACATGGGTACTCACCCGGCAGCTGCTCAGCTCCTCAGCCAGCAGCAGGATGGTCCCACATCGCTTCCCTGGGACCCCCCTGGGACCAGAGGCACCTGGTCAGCTTGGGGATGAGTACAGGACAGGGGCAGGAGGTGGGTTCATGCCCCACGGCTGGCGCTCAGCAGCGTGGCTGCTGTCCCCAGCAGGGGATGCGCAGGGAGGGGTCCCATGGGGCAGGTGGCTGGGGACACGGTGTGTGACCCCCCCTTGCCCCACTGCAGGGCGTGACTCACGTGAGGGCTCTCTCCAGGCGGCCCCGCTGGGATCCGATCACCTCCCCCAGTGCCACGAATGCCTGCCCCAGGAAGTCCTGCACCCCGAGCACAGTGCCGTGAGACCCCGGGGGCTCCTGCCCCAGCCCCCCCTCCTCCACCCCCTGACCTCCCAACGCACCCACGGGACCTGCCACCCCACCGCCCTGAAAAAAAGACCTCCCAACGCACCCACGGGACCTGCCACCACACTGCCCTGGGGCCACCCCAGATGTCCTGAACCCACCCTGTGCCCCAAGAGACACCCTCCATCCCAGGACTCATCCTGCACCCCCAAGGCCACCCCAGGTGCCCTCCCCATGTGCTCTGGACCCACCCTGTGCCCCCCAAGCTATCTCACAGCCCTGGACCCACCCTGTGACCTCAGCCCCATCCCTCCAGAGCCACACCACATGCCCTGGACACATTCTGCACCCCTTGGGCCACCCCTGTGGTGTGTCCTGGCCCCATCCTGCACCCTGCCCCACCAAGCACCCCCACGAGGGCTGGGTTTCCAGGGCTGAGCAGGGCTGGTCTGTGGCGGTGACCTAC